GGTTCTATTTGTGAAGCATACTTGATAGCCGAATCAACACAATTCTTTTCTCATTATTTTGAACCTCATGTTATGTCACGTCATCATAATGTGTCCCGTAATGATGATGGTGGTGTTATGAAAGATGCTGAAGAAAATTTATCAATATTCACCCATCCAGGAAGGTTATCGGGTGAAGCCAAAAAGAGAGATTTGTCTCTTGAGGAAATTAAGGCTGCCCAAACTTATATTCTTCTAAATTGTCAAGAGGTTGAGCCGTTTGTGAGGTAAAATTTTAAAGGTTATACTTCTTTCATATAATAAATTTGTCCATATATTATGAATTTATTTTTGACTTATTTTGTTGCAATGAAGCATGTATGTGCAACGTTTGCAAGAAGAGTTTCCGAATCTCTCTCAAGATCAAATAGATGAGAGTCTCGAAACATATTTTTCTGTATGGTTCAAGGAATATGTAAGCCTAATTAAATCATCACTATCATTTAAAATATAATGTGTTGAATTGTCTTGTAAATTAGACTAAATCTTGCTCATGGACCATTAATAAACGTGTATTCTTATCCAGTGTGTTTTGTTAATGGATACAAATTTCACACAGTACATCGCGGTAGTGCAAGATCAACAATGAATAGTGGAGTTTGTATCTCTGATCCAAATACGGGTGATTACTATGGAAGGATTCAAGAAATTATACAAGTGGAATACCGTAGAGCACCTTTAAAGCAAGTTATGTTATTCAAGTGTGAATGGTTTGATCCAGCATTAAATATTGGTGTTAAGGTGTATAATCAGTATAAATTGGTCGATGTTAATCATCGTCGCCGATTTAAAAAATATGAACCTTTTATTCTTGCGATGCAAGCAACTCAAGTGTGTTATATGTCTTATCCTAGCACAAAGAAGGACAAGGATGATTGGTTAGCTGTATTAAAAGTCAACCCTCGAGATGTCATTGAATTACCTGATGAGGGAGTGATCACAATACCAGAACCAAATCTTCCATTTCAAGTTGAAGAAGTTGAAGTTCATGAGATAGATATGAATATTATTGTTGATGAAACTATACTTCTGCATGATCCAAATGGGGAGGCAATTGAAATGGATGAACCAGTTGATTGTGGATTGTTTCCAGAGCATCATGAATTAGATGAAGAATTTACAGAAGACGAGTATGAAACTGAGAATGAATCTGAAGAGGATGATGAGGAGTTCGAAGAAGAAATAGATACAGACTAGTGTATTGATAGTAATGTGCTACAATGTCTTTAATGACGTTTGTTTATAGTAGTATGTTTTGGATGCTATTTGTTTCTTGTGGAAAAACAGTGCTTACTGATTGTTGTATCTTTTTTGTGCTTTGTAGCTCTAATTTCTTAAAGCTATTAGTATCTTTTTGTGTCTGACATGCTTCAACTTTGGATGAAATTTTTCTAAATGTACCTCCCTTTTAGCATGAGCAAACTCAAGAAATAAGATAGTTGTTTATATAGTTGGAAGGCATTCTCAAACTTCTATTTTTCCTACTTCTGGACATTCTCAAGTTCAGTTTGGTCCATGACATGTGTGAAAGAATCTGAATATTCTTAAAAGAGAGAAATTCTTTAACTCAGATTTGATAAATATGATTAACTTTGTATTTTTTGTAGATATGACACGAGGCAGAGGTCGAGGTAACACAAGTCGTGCAAGCAAGATGTCAATTGGAGATCGAGGTAGCACAAGCAAGTTAATATGCCCACTGTTCCTATTCCCATAACTAGTTCTCAACAAGGTGGTATTAATTCTTCTAGTGGACCAAATAATATCATTCAAGTTCAGACATTAGTTCCTACTATTTCTCCTCATGTTCAAACATTAGATCAATGTAGTACCCCATCAGTTCATCTTGAACCAGCCCCTGTAATACCTAATAGGAGCAATGCAATAGGTGAGGGTGCATCTACTGATAAGAGAAACGTAACAGGTGACTCTACATCTAGTAAAAACAACACAATAGGTAAAGGTGAGAGCAATAGTAACCCTGAACAGCGGACGCTTGTTTTTCTTTCTGCTGCCGGGTTAATGTGTGTTTGCACTATTATTATTAATATACTATGAATTTCTGTATCAAAGAGTTCATATAATATCTTCAAATTTTTTTCAGGTTGGAACCTTCGAGTACTTGCTCTAACCGAATATGTGAGTCTTTCAAGAGTGAGCTTGATCCCAAGGGAACTAATTGGAAAAGTGTCCCACAAGAAACAAAAGATTTTTATCTAGTGGAATTCGAGGTATAATATTTCAGCATTTTAATTAAAAAGGTTCATCAGTTTTATAGTTTGGATACTGATGTTGTTATTTATAAAACTATTTCAGAAGGAATTCTATTGGGATCCATCCATTGATAGTGAAGTGAAGATACAATGGCGAAGGAAGACAGCGAGAAGGTATAGTGATTTCATTTCTGGCTTAAAAAAAGAAGGAAAATGGCCAAAATATATTTCAGAAGAAACATGGGAAAGTTGGATGAGTATTTGGAAGAAACCTGAGGTTATTGAAAAGTCAAAAATAAATTCAAGAAATCGTTGTGGCGGTCAGGATGCAGTTGCCAAAGGAACTCACACGGGAGGCTCTATTACCATTGGAGAGCATCGTAAGAGACTTGTAAGTATATTTTCACGCACCCTTCATTTACTTGTGTCACAGTGACTATTTGCAATTGAGTTAGCATTCAAGTTTTATCTCTAAGGATTTTCTAGAATTTTGTGAACAAGAAAAAACATTTGTTAATGTCGATGTAGTGCTGATGTAGATGTGTCTCCTAGCTAACCTTACTTTGTTATGAACTAACAGATATGGTCTCGAATTACACTATACCATGCTTTTATATTTTCATGTACTTTAATTTTTTTTAATCTTGTATAGGCTATTAAAAATGGTCGCGATCCAACACCAAGTGAGATACATTTGCATGTCCATACACATGGTCATGATGGAAAATCTTTTGTTGGTGAACGAGCTCAAATCGTGCATGTAAGTTCAATATTCTTACTGTTGATCCTAAGGTGCTTTCTAATCTCTTCATTTGTGGCTGGTGTTATTAGTTTCAATTGTTGTGTTCTTTTCAGTCTTGGTCCACTGCTCATTATATCTCTTCTTACTGTTGATAATACATGAGTTGATGATCCTAGTAATGCCTATATCTCTTCTTACTTCTCAAATAGTTTAGGAGAATGGTTAACATTGGATGACTTGGTTTTCTTCATTCCCTTATGATTATTGGCATGAAGCTTTTATGATCTGCTAAGTGGTTGAAAAATCTGAAGCTTCTAGCCCCTTTTGGTGACATCTCTTCAAAAGGGAATGGAGATTTCTTATGAACTCTATTTCTTAATTTTATATTGTTGTTGTGTTTATTTTATACAAATCCAGATAAAATGCTTTATCTCGATCTAGCAAACATTCCCCTTTTCGAGCTTCATTGTTATTGTCGATATTGATTTTGATTGGAATAAGTTGCAGGTGCTTCCCCTTTATTTTCGTTCTAGCTTCTGTTATTTTTTATTTTGATTTCGATTAGAACACAATTGATCAGAGTAGCTAGACATTGTAGTTGTTTCCCAATGGATGCAATTGTTTTCTGGCATTCTGAAAGCATGTCAGCAACCACTGCTAAATCCTCCTGCTATTTCTAGTGTCATTGTTGCTAGGACCATAACAGAAGATACATATAAGTCTTCCTGCAACATACAGACCTACTTCAGTAATGGGTCTCCACTGCTCAGCACATGAAAAATTAATTCCCAGACCAACATTAAGTCCTCTTAGGATGTGCACTGTACGGAGAACATAAAACAGTTCCTCTGGAAAAGCCTATCATCAAAACAAACAATTTTCAAAATTGTTTTACAGTATATGCATATTTAATTCGCCAACTGGTTCAACTGGCAACTGTTATCACCATGTGAATGAAGGAAAACCAAAGTTGTTCACTGCCAAATTACTATTGTTTCCAAAGGTGGGGACTTATGGTTAGACAATAGGAAAACTACTGAAGTTTACTAGGTGAAAGGCATTATCTGTGGTTTTGGAATATCACAAGTAAAATTATGGACTGGGATCTTGACTGCAGCAACTAGGAAAAAAAGACATTTTCCTTTCCGCAGCCTAGCAAATTAGGAAAGAAAGATCTATGTTTTCTGACCCTCAGACTTATCTGACCATTCTTTCAACTTCTCAAGTTCTACCCTCAGACTTATCTGACCATTCCTCAACTTCTCTAGCTCCTCTCCTAGATTATTGTTCACGAGATCAACACGAGCACTAGTGTTGATCTGGAATTCTGCTTTCGATACATTTCAGTCAGTGCTTTTTATGAGTTGTGTTCTCCTTCTCTAGACACTTAAGCCTGACAAAGATATTAGGATCAGTAGAAGTAGGCGTTGCAGCTTAAATAGTTGTTTCTCAAGTGTAGTTTTTTCAGATTTCAATATTTGGTGTTGATTTGGAATTTGCAGTTTTTTCAGATTTCAATATTTGGTGTTGATCTGGAATTCCGCTTTCGATATTTGATGTTGGTTTTGTTCAAAATTTAGTCATGTGAACTTTGTTTTGAGCAGTTTGTCTGTTTTTATTCTTTGACCTTTTTTAACTGCATAATTTTTTAAACAAATGAGAACTCATTGTTGTTAGTTGAGTCTATATGTGTCTATTGTTGTTATAAATAAATAATTTCACTAATTTTCACTCTTTTGCAGGAAAAATATCAAGAAATATTACAGAACCAAACACAAACTCAATCTGATGTTGATCAATGGAAAGCATATTATCAAGCAGCGGGAGGGGAAAAGAAAAGAAGGATATATGGTCTTGGAGCTCAAGCAAAAGTATTTTATGGACCAAATTTTCGTGTCTCTTCTGGATCTGATGCTTCTGGCACAGTACCATGTCCAAATGCTCAAACAACACCAACAGAAAATATGGATGAGTTAGTGGTGCGAATGATTCCTTCGCTAACTAATCACTTGCTTCCTATATTTGTAGAGCAGGTACGTGGTTTGATTTCTCCAGCCTCATCTCAACCAGACTCAGCTACCAACCATCCATCAACTATTGCACCTGTAATTCCTGCTCCAACTGCAAAAAAATATTGATGAGGATCGTGCATCGCTTTCTAAGGAATGATTGTGGCTCTCTAGTCTCTCTTAGTTAGTTTTTGTTGGCTAGATTTTGTTGCAAATGCTTTCAGTTATATATTTTGCTTGAAATTTATCATTGGAGATATTTTGAACTTGGTCATATAATTTGCAGTTAGCTATGTACTTTGGATCTTGTAGAATATTAATTTCTACGGATTAAGTTAATTTTATGATTATATAATATGTGTTGAAATGTGTATTTAATTACACAAATAAAAAAATATTGATAGATTTGTGACAAATTATTTTCGTCGCTAAAAGAATGGAGATGGAATTAGCGACAAATATTTGGTCGCCCAATATGATGAAACGACGAAATAATTTATAAAATAAGGGATAAAATTAAAATTACAACGACGGATTTTTTTGTCGCTAAAGAAAGGCGGAAATGTAACAAAAATAGGCGACGAAATTAGCGACAAAAAATTGATTGCCAATATGATGAGACGACGAAATAAGTTACAAAACCAGCGACATAAATTACAAAAATAGTGACAGATTTTTCCGTTGCTAATCTTGCCAATGGATAACTTTCGTCGCAAATCCGTCGCTCAGTTTGTGACAGATTCAATTTTTTCGTCGCTAAATGGTTAGCTACGCGCAATATAGAGACGAACAATATTTTGTCGCTATTCCGTCACTAAACTAAAATAGCGACGGAATAAGCTATTTAGCGACCGATTTTGTTTGTCGCTAAACACAGTTTTTTTTGTAGTGTGTGGTCGCTGTGTGGTGTTTTTCATATCGTCTCCTCTTCCACCAAACCTAAGAATTCATCCAATATAATTTTCATTAGCTACATGTGTGGTGTATATTTTTTTTGTTTGATTTCTTACAATTTTGATATTAATCAAATCTCACCTAATATTTTCTTGTAGACAGTATTTCTTGTGTATGTCCATGTGCATCAATCTGGTTGTTCAGTCATGACCTGCACTTTTTTTGTTAGCATAGATATTCCTCTAGATAGTGAAACGTATAGTTTGCCATGCGAGAAAGCATGTTGTGGTAGGTATAGTCCTACATTTGATATGGTTTGACCTTTAGCTTAATTTATCATCATTGCAAAAACATAGACGTATTGAAAATTATTTCCGAATAAATTTGAAAGGGTATCCTTCATTTTCACGGGGGGAGGGGGGGTGATAGTTGTATTGTTGTTGTAAACACCTGGTTTGTGGCATATTGACCTGTTGTTTTTTTTGCATGTATGACTTTCTCGTCAAAGCCTCTACAAATCAACCATGTCCCATTGCATAAGCCATTTGAGGGGTCTAATTTTCTTAGCAGTATGATGGGCACATTTTCTTTCAAAACAAACCTAATGTATAAAATTAAAAGAATCATCAATTGTTATGTAGATGTAATCGTGTAATTCTTTTCTTCTATTTTGTTCTATGAAGTATCACAATAAGATAACTGTAAAAGTTAGGATGGATTAGACAACGTACCTATGCGGCGGAGTCCATTGGGCGTTTAGGTATAAATACAGATCATATCTTTACTGAGGTCGATTCTATGTAGTCTTGCACGCTTCAGCCTAGTAAATATTTAGCCACTTCAAATAGTATAACTCGGGCACATTGTTCTCTACCACACACTTCAAGTCGTAAGCAGTATCTGTTTAAAAAGAGGCAAGAGGGTTATAGTTGTATTGTTGGAGTAAACATCTGGTTTGTAGCATATTGACCTGTTGTTTTTTCTGCATGTATGATATTCTCATCAAAGACACTTCAAATCAACTATGTCCCATTGCATAAGTCATTTGAGGGGTCCATTTTTCTCAGCAGTATGATGGGCGCATTTTCTTTCAAAACTAACCTAATGTGTAAAATTAAAAGAATCATCAAATGTTATGTATATGTAATCGTGTAATTCTTTTCTTTTCTTTTGTGCTATGAAGTATCACAATAAGATAACTGTAAAAGTTAGGATGGATTAGACAACATACCTATGCGGTGGAGTCCATTGGGCGTTAAGGTGTTTGGTATAAATACAGTTCATATCTTTATTGAGGTTGATTCTATGTAGTCTTGTACGCTGCAACCTAGTAAATATTTAGCCGCTTCAAATTGTATAACTCCGGCACGTTGTTCTCCACCACACACTAAGTCGTAAGCAATATCTGTTTAAAAAAAGGAGTCATTTAAAATTTAAAGCTAATTTGTTTTCTAATTAGTAAATGTAAAATCAAGTTTTTACTGAGTCTAACCTCATTTCATATTCTACATTCTCATTGTTGCAACTGTTACAAGATACAGTATGTTCTATAACTTTCACTTTTTTGCTGCACTTTTTGCAAGACGAATATCATGGCTCATTTTTATTCTGTATGTCTATAATTGTTGCTTTGAACTTGTACAAACAATCATGCACATCGCCAATATACCATATTTGTGATTATATTTTGGATGAGTAAAGACATAAAGACACAATCAAAGTTGTCTTAACTTTCCAAGTGTCCCATCACCCCACAAAACTATTTAATATCGTTGTAAATGGGCCATTTTGACCCATTCCCTCGTCTATGTAGTGGCGCGTGTTGCTCACTCCCTGTGATAGAATTCAATTCGACCCGACCCGACCCTATTCTTTGAAGAAAAGTCATCTTCTCCTTTTCTTTTCTTATTTCTCAACTTTCCATAAAATCTGAAGAAATAGAAAAGTTTTCTCGCCGTGTTGGTGTTGATAATCTCGTTGTTGATGTGTCTTAGTGAAGATTCTTGGAGGGACAAAGAATTGCCATTGTTAGGATTTTATAGTTTTTCGTTGTGTTTTTGAGTAATTGCTACTGTAGGGCTATGGAAAAAACCATGAAATCGAAAAATTAGGGCTATCAATGGCTATTTGGGTTTAAATTTGGGGAAGATGATATAAAGTGATTAAATAATTAATAATAAAGAAAGAAAATGACACGTGGCACTTTTAAACTGGCCCATGGCAGTGAAAACGCTGCATGACGAGCCTCATGTACGTGGTAACAACCCAGACGAGGAAATGGGTCAAAATGGCCCATTTACAAAGATATTAAAATAGTTTTGTGGGGTGATAGGACACTTTGAAAGTTAAGGTGTCTTTATGCAAATACGAGACAACTTTAATGGGGTCTTTATGTCTTTTCTCTATTTTGGATATTAAAATGGTTATTATTCTTAGAGAGTAAAGTATAGGATAGTATGTACTTGTAAATCAACTAGCAATCCATCCATAATATATACCAACAGAACTTTTATGGCTCTTCTCATTTCCTTACTTGGTGTAACCATAAAATCTTTATTTTCGGCCTTTACCATTTCACGCCTGTATTTTCGATGAGATTAGTTAATTGTATCACCCATTTTGAATGAGATGTGCTCGGTGCAAAGGTTTTGGGAACTTAGGAATTTTAGTTTGTAATTACCCAACAATGATAATAGAACAATTTTGTCATGTTATAGAAACTTTAAAAGTAACCTGCCTACAATACTAAAGTATAATATGTACATTAGTTGTGACAATCGGGTTTAAATAACATTGCAAAACATATGTGTGATTAATGTAATGTACCAGGTTCGTGGATTTTTGAAACTGTGGATTGATCAAGATGTTACTCATGGAAATAGTAGATATTTCAAAAGGGCCTAGTGTGACAAGAGCTTGTTTCAAATTTGAAACAACAACTATACTCAGTTTATTATAAAAACATACAGTAGTATGTCCAATACTCTTATAGATTAGGATTCAAAGTCACATAAGCCAGGTATAGGTTTATCATCTTTCATCTTTTTCAGAAAAGCACCGTCATTTTCTGCAAAATCCTCTCATAGAGTAACAGTTGTTTATTCCATGATGGGTTATCAGTTAGAAGCGAAATGTCAATACTTCACCATATCTCTATATTTGATGGTAGTTTAGGCATCTTCAAAACATACTTCTCATTTGTAACAACCACCTCCCATCTCTTGCTATATTCTTTTTCAATGAGGGGATTCATTGAAACTAAAATGCAAATTAAATCTTAGAGTAGGTAATGTAAATTAGTGATAGTGATTACGTAATGGAGCATGAAATTAAATAACAAATTATTTTGGTGGACATTTACCTAGAATAGCATCATTAGGTAATTTATCGACATGATCCAATGATACAAATTCAACAGAGAATCTGTGTGTTGAAACCTCAATGTTTGTCGCCTTTATGATTGTGTTATATGTAAATGTCAATTCAACTTCTTTATGTACGGAATAGTAGTTGGGGTTGACGCGATCTAAGCGTCCTTTAACAATGTAGTAACTCTTATTTGGTTTCAAGGAGTCCTTCCATGTTTTGATATGTTTATTAAATAGTGTTGCTTGAATTTTTGTACCTAATATTGTGCAAAGGGGTGGGGGTATAAGTACAATAAACATGAACGATAAAATAATATGGTAAGTAAAAGTGTTAATGGTATTACCTCTTCGTTAACTAATATTATTGTTCTGAAAGTCCCTTCATGCCTTGAATTCTTGTAAGGTATTATTGAACCCCTTTGATGTGAGGCCAAAAATACATATTTTTAATCATTATTTGCCTCACATTTATTATTTATATATGCCATTTTTGAGCATGGATTTTATGGATTGTGCTAAATAATGTATTTTATTTGTAGGAGTAAATTGGTGTAAAGTTGAAGAAATTTAAAGCTAAAACGAATTAAATATGAAAGGTTGAAGAAGGAAATCAAGCAGACAGCTTAATGGATTAAATTTAATATAATAATATATAAAATATATAAGAAGTACGTGCAATTACGAAGTGCAAAGGAATTCAAGGCTGCCACGTAGCAGAATCTGAAGGCAGTGGCCAGTTGAGAGACGATGGAAGTTGAGGCAGTTTTAGGCACGGGAGGAATTCCAATTCCTTTTGGTTTCGATTTTGGGTTCCTAATTTGATTTGGACTCAATTATTTTATTTATAATTTTCTACATCTATAAATA